CGCCAGTGCAATACTTCATGGAAGAGATGTCGAATGGCAATGCGTTGCGGAGCACAACCACCCTTGGCAATGAGAAGGAACGAGAGAGAGTTTACGACACGATATTTCGCTTGCCATGGCGATGTGAATTGGTAATCTTTTAGCTGCAGCTATGATGTATTGTTCCTTGAGAAAATGTGTATAGAAGTAAAACTGTGTCTTAGCTGTGACCATTTTTGCTGCAGCTTATAGATGTTGGCTTTTTTGTGTGTTTTGATTCGTTTCTGTCACTGTTGACTATCATGCCAACAAGAATTTTGATGACTATTTGGAGGACCATACAGTCAAGGTTAGATTTTCTCTTCACTTGCCCCTTCTGGGTTTGTCTCCTAATTTCGTGAAGTTTGGTTCTTTCATTCATACCGGCTGAGTCATTCGGGTGCTTTGAAGTTTGTACCAGTGTAGTGTAATTTCTGTTATCATGCTGCTTTTGTTTTTGTGTGAATTTTGTTAAATCGTAATGACTGCGAAGATATTTACAATGTCACCTAACCATACCTGCGGCAGGCAGTTTAAGAGGCCATCTGCAGCAGAGCTGTGTGATTTTGGTTGTTTTACTATAATGGCTTGCGGAGTCACTCTCTTGGAGCAAACAGGTGAGTAAGAAGATGATGGAGTTATTCCTTCATATGGTAATGTCTTATTCAACCAGTTTGTGGATAATTTTATAGCCTGATGACTGGGTCCATTGATTAGAGCAAGAGTTGGATGTAGTGTACTGATTGTACTATTTATTTGCTTCCGTCAGATATCAGCTTAATATACCACATGATCCGTGGTCAAGGAACAATCAAATTATATGTGGTGTACAACGTGTTGGAGGTAATTATGTTATTGATCATATGATTTTAGTTTTGACACTTGTTGCATTTATGTTGTTCAATTTCCTCTTCAGAACATAAATGTAGTTCATCTTTCTGAAAGGCAAAAAGGCTGAGGCGAAACACAATATCACTGTAATATATATATATATATATCTTAGAACCATAGTTGTTGTCAGCAGTGTCTAAATTGCTTTCTTTGTACTTTGCAGATATTTGATAAACTATGCCAAAGTTTTAACCCAGATGTATTGCAAACTCTATTTAACTCAGCAGATGGACTTGCAAGTTGTCCACCAGAAAACATGAGATTCTGGGTTTGGAGATTCATTTGCGACCAAGCTTTAGCTGTGGCTGCTACAAATATCCTTTGGAAAGATCATTTTCTTCAAAGATTTTTTCACCCCACTTTTCCTGCATAACTTACAGAGTTCCTTAACCATATGTACTTATTCATGCATTTATCTTATTAGCTCAGGCGATTACTTTGTCAACCTGCATAGTTGCTCACAATAATGCCTTGTGGGCTTTGCTGGTGTCCAATAATTTTTCTGAGATAAAAAGCAATGTGTTTAAGCGATATAGCAAGGACAACATTCATAGTCTGGTATACTTCGGTGAGTTGTCTTTCTGTTATTTTACGATCTATATGGATGACATTCCTGTTTTCTGTTGCATTTTTGCATTTTCAATAGTTTACGAAAACACAAACTTTTAGTCTTACCCGCTGAAAACGTTTTAAGTTGCCTGGCTGAAAATAAAATTACCACCTTCTCTGACACCACCTTCTCTGACATTGCTGTTTTTTGATGCATTCCTTCTAATACACTGATAGTATAGTAAGGCTGTTTAACATTTGCTACACCGTATCCATATTCAACTAACAAAATATAGATCATATTGTGGGTATAAAAAATGCAACATTTTGGTTATATGTAGTCAATTTGTCACAGACCTATTCTATTGCATAGACTAGACAAAATCTTGGAAGCTTTTACCTCAGTTGCTTATGGTTTGTCGCACAGAACAAATAGGTCTGTTGCCGATATTGTGTGATGATTACAGAAAAAAGATGCAGGCATAAATCTTAATGTCATATTTGTTATCTAGTTTCTCTTGGGCTTAATCTTTTCATTTGATCTGAAATTTTGTTTTATTTTTGGTTTCTTGCAACCAGATTCAGTAGAGAGATTCCACATTTCAGCATTCGTCTTATTTGTTTTAGCTCAAAACATTCTTGAGGCTGAAGGTCCCTGGTTCGAAAGTTTCCTTTCTGTAAGTTGACCTTAACATTTGACGAGAAACTGTTCTTTATAAAAGAAAAAGTTTTGTTGCACAGCAAACATTTTGATCACTGTTTTTACATCTGTTTACTGCAGAACGCTCTCATAGTATACGTCTGTGAGATGATTATTGATATCGTAAAGCACTCATTCATTGCTAAGTTCAATGACATTAAGCCTATTGCTTACTCGGAGTTTCTTGAAGACCTATGCAAGCAGGTATTCTTTTCTCCAAAGTTGCGGGTGACTTTTTTTCAAATGAGTGTAGGTCAGTTGTTATGGGATGTTAGTATATTTAGATGGTTATATAGAAATCTGACCCTCTGTTTTCTTCTCGTCAGACTTTAAATATACAATCAGAGGGTTCAAAGAAAAATCTTACGTTCATTCCTCTGGCACCAGCTTGTGTGGTAAGCCACCCGTTATTACCTATCTTGACGTTGATTTTCACGGTTTAAAGTCATCCCCACTTTTTATGGTAGAGACAAGAAAAAATTCATGCGTAGAAAAGTTCGCTTATTGCCCGGCTACAAGAATTAGGGTTCTGATATGAGATTTGAGCTGTGTTGAAAATGGAATGTTCAATTTTGAATGCGAATAATGTTTATCAATATCGATGATTATGAGATAATCCTGAACAGTGTTGTCATCTTTTTTGTAGGTCATCCGAGTGCTTACTCCCGTATATGCTGCTCACCTTCCTTACAGTCCCCTTCCGTGGAAACTATTTTGGACTCTCGTCCTTTTCGCGATGACGTATGTGATGCTGACAAGCCTGAAGGTGTTGATAGGCATGGGCCTCCAGAAACATGCCAGTTGGTACGTCAATAGGTGCAAAAGGAGGAAACACCATCTTCATTATGATTGATCGTAAAGAAGGGAAGTCATTTGCTTTTCACATATCAGTATTATTCTGTCAATTCCGCTCGAGGGACCCCAACGAACAAGTTGAAGATCGGGGTTCCTGTGGAATTCTGCGCATTAGACCATCCGAGGGCTGCAAACGAAGATGGGGTTCGGCTAGAACATCACGTAGCCTCTGTAGTCTAGTTATGCCTGGTTATTACCATCCAATTTTGTTACAAAACGAAGGTTTACCTGCTGCTTTGGGACGGGACTGTGTATAACAAAGGTAATTCGACAAGATTTCCAATTCTCTAATGTAAGAAGATGTCGTGAAACCAACAATAATCTCCGCTATTTCGGAACATTTCAATTCTTCTGTCAAGCATACTTTTATGGAGCATATCGAATTTTTGACCTATCATAATCGTAATCATTATTTTTGAAGACCTATGGACGGGCCTTACCATCACACTTACATCTTAACCAACCCTTGGAAAGATTATTATGTCCCGACACCGTACATGGTAGTACCGTAGGAGACTCGAGCGGGTGTGTAAAAAGTGAGGTTGGCTAGGACCAAATTCAAGAGTTACATTTTAAAAAATGAAGGTCGGACGGCTGGCGTGATTCAAATGTCTCGAACCAAATTTTCTTCAATCTTGGGCCTTTGTTAACATTTAGTTTTAGCCGAATATAGAAATTACTAAATATGAGTCTTAACGGTTCATGCAATTTTAATAAATTTAAGAATTTTCATATTTATGATTTGAGGATTGGACAGTTGACGTGATTTTAATAAATTTTCATCTTTATCCGTCTAAATATATTTCTTTTGTTAAGTGCGATATGATAGAGATGAAAAATTATTGGAGACGGATAACCGTGCCAAACTGAAAATCTATATGAATTTTGTGTATAATACTATAATGTAGGAGTAAATTTTGGAATTCTCTTAAAAGTTTAGTGAGGCTACGAAAGTCAATAACATTTTTTGTTCTTTTGACTTACTCTCTTAAAACATCTGACTAGAAAGAAATATATATTTGACCAAAAAAAAAGGCTTTCCCACTATTACAGTCCTTCATTGTTATCAGATTAAATAAATTAAACATAAACATATGATAAAAATAAATGTGTGAAAGATAAAAAAAAAGTGTGCATTTATTATTATTTTTAAATGTAAAATAATTGAATACATTTAATTTCGTAACAATTTCCATTTGGGTTTTACCGGATTGAAAGGTTTATCTAGAGACCCGCTTCTTTCCAAAATGAAAAATTGTAACGATTTCCATTCGCGTTAACAAAACGTGGCAGTATTTGGCTTTATTAATATGATAATGTTATCCACTCACTCATTTTTACCTTCCATATATTTTTATTAATTTTTTGTCATTGATCTTTTTCAATTTATTCGACTTGGCGGCCGAAAATTAAGAGAGATATATGAGAAGTAAAAATGAAAACTATTCTTATAAAATTAAAACAAAATTAATGCTTCATGAAAAAATTAGAAAAAGATAAATAATAATTTAAAACTTGGCTGATTCCAGTTCCTCCCACTTCAAAATTTTAATTTAATTAACTGATTTTATCATACATTGTAGTTGTAGCAAATAAGACTAGAGTCCAAGTCAGAGAAGCAGCAAAAAGCTCAAACAGTTATTATTAATAATAATAAAAAAACAAATGGAAAATAAAAAGGGACAAAACGGCTCCGAAAATCTCGCTTATTTCGGCGGGAAAGGACGTAAAGCTTCTTAGGGATCACTAGGGTTTTGCGTAACATGGCCCCCATACGAAAATCCCACTGACCTAATTATTTTATTAATCAATTACGTGCAATAATTAATAATAATTTCTCAAAACTACAACCGTCGGATTCCGTTTAAGTTTGATCCGACGGAAATAATGCATTTAGCTTCCCGCCGAGTGTTTTATTTTTTATTTTCTATTTTCTCAATAATTAAGTGGAAAATTGGACACAGCTCTTTGCCTGCCTGCTTGATAAAAAGAGTTCCCATTTTTTCTTCCTCTCTCACTTGCTTACAACCCTTGTGGAGGTGGACCTTTTTGAATTTTTTGCAAAATTTTCATGTTTTTCTTACTCAAATTTTCAAGTGTCGACTCCTGCAGTAACAGAAAATTCAATTTCAGTCCATAACTAATCGAAGAAATGGTAAGAATTTGAGTTCTTTTAATGTCTTTTTCTATGATCATTGTTATTTTCAAATTGATTGTATCAAGTTATTGGATTCCAATCAGTATACATAAATTTCACCATATGGGTTAGTGTAAATTGATCAAATTTATGATCTTTGGTTGTGGGTTTTGCGAATTTGTGAAATTTGATTGAATGGTTTTTGAGTTCGAAGGCTAATCAATCAAGTTTTGATCAAATTTATGAATTTTGGTTGTGTGTTTTGTGAATTGGATTGAATAATTTTTTAGTCTTGAATGGTGATGAAGTTTTGATGAATTTGTGTTTGCTACATGCTTTGTTGAAAGGTTTGTTCTTTATTTCTGGAAGTTGGATGGGATTGTTTTGTAGGTAGGCTGCAAGGTTTGCATAAAGAAAAATAGAAGAGATCATTGGCTTAACACCCTTTTGCTTAGCAAATTCTTCGGTTCCTGCGGTGTTCATCAACACCTTCGGAAAAACGAGAAGAATGTGTTCTGCATAGACTGCAGCCTCCACCTCTGCAGGCATTGCATGACATCTCATTGCCTTCACAAAAAGCTTCAGATCTGCAAATACGTTTATCATGATGTCATTCGCCTTCAAGAAATTCAGAAGCATCTTGACTGCTCCAAAATTCAGGTTTGCTTCCCCACTCTCTTTCTTCAATTATACAACTCTTAGCAATAATATGTGATTTTCATGTGTACTTTCATTGTTGTTCGAAGCTCCGTGCTTTTTCGATCATAACATCAGTCGCAGATTTGGTTATTTATTGTTGACAAGTTCATAACATACACCCTAGCATTGGGCTTTTTCTTTGGCATGTTTTTGGTTACCTATGAAATTACATGTTACAGTTGAGTTGAATGTTTATCATCTGAAACAGTGATAGCCTGATTCTTAACAGACATATAAAATCAATGGCGAGAAAGCTGTGCATCTAAATCCTCGTCCTCAATCCAAAGACGCGAAACCATCAACAAAAGCAAAGTTTGGTGCTTCCTGTGAAGCTTGTGGGAGATATCTACAGGACATGCCAAATCGCTACTGCTCCATCGCATGCAAGGTAATTGTTGTTGCTTGTCAGTTCCAAATTTTCGACTCCTTTTTGATATTTCGCACTCCGATCGCCTGTAAGGGATCACGAAACATTTGCTTGCTATTCAAATTTTCAGGTATCGATAGTTTCAGTGAAGCCGAAAGACCACCAAAGTCACAAATTCATCACCGTTGCAATGCGCGAATACGCTGAATTTTCGCCAAAAGGTAACTACAATTCGGAAACAAATATGAGTGAAATGGAATCATCGTCTATCTCGTTAGCCGAGTCATCTGAGGAGATGAATGCTTGGGTGTGTCCAGCATTGAAGCCGAGGAGGCTTTTGCACAAGAGGAAAGGCATTCCTCGCAGAGCTCCTCTATGCTGATGCCTAAACAGGATCAAAGATATTTTTGCTCTTTTTTCCTTTCCTAAGGATTCGAATGTGAAAAATGAAGTGTCGTCTTGACTACCTGCTTCTTTTTAATTTTTTCTTCTAAATTTTTCGTTATATCTAAAGCATTAATAAAACCATAAAACCACAGCCGGTATTTTCTAATGTAAGTTTTTGAATTTGTACAGCATAAAGAGGTGATATATCTTGAGAGATTTGTTGGGATTTACTATACTTTTCATATTTCTTAAGACAAGATTAGAACTTGTAAATGTTGATGGGAATGTACTTGCTTTACTGTTTTCTTTTTTCTATTTTGTTGGCAATGGCAACCAAAACTAGAGAATTTACATGAAACGGGAATACCAAGTTAGCAGTGTATTAACTAATCACATGATATGTGAAAAAAATTTAAAACACGTAACGGCGTGTTATTGGTTCAAAATGTCACGCCACCGTGTAAATAAGTCGTTTTCAAATTGATAGGTTTGTGATGGATTCATGTGCATTATGGCAACAATGTTTAGTTTATGTTGTTATGGATTGTGGCAGACAGAAAGAGTTGCAATAGAAATGGTTTTTGGAGCTGCAATATATATATATATATATATATATATATATCGTATTGCAATTGTATGCATGTTGCACATGGATGATGGATCACCAACTTTTTCTTATGTTTTGTTTGCTTGGCAACTGCCACCCTTGTTGGATAAAAGTAGAATCAATCACATGAGTATATGTTTATGCGGCTTGCTGATGTGAAAAGCAGTTTTGTAAGTTTGCTTTTGTTGAAAAGCGCTTTTGGATTTTAGCTTCCACATCAGATATGAAAATGGTTTGTACAAGCGACATGATTATTTTGATTCACACTAGAGGAAGGATATGAATTTAAACTGGAGACGTCGAGGATTAAAAAGAAAGTCCCTAAACTCAAGGAAAATTCTGTCAGATTGGAACGACTTTTACACTAAATAAAATTAACGATAAGTTATATACAACCGTAATTTAATAATTTTGAAATAAAAAATTATCCTAAAACTCTCACAAATTAAACGCGTAGAATAAAAGAAAAGGAGTTGGCGTCGCCGAATTGGAGCTCCAACTGAAAACGAGTTGGCAACTCACCGCCCAAAATCAACAACCAACAGCGATTCCGAGCTTGCCGCTGTTAACAAAAAAAGAAATTAACCAAAAATTTATATATATATATAAAAATTAAGAGAAAAAAGGAACGAAAATACTACAACAAAGGGACGTCCTGCATTTGCTCTCAAACAAAATCTACCCAAATGTCGGTGAGTTTTTTTTTTCCCTAATAAATCTTCAATTTTGAGTTAATTTCTTTAATTTTTAGATTGCCCTTAATGCTTTCTGTATTTTCAGTTTCCTCTAAAATTATTGCGTTGAGAGTTTTCTGTGCAGACTCCGGCGGAACCTGCAAATGAGGGGATTGAAGCACTTCCCCAGTCAACAGCTCCCACACCAATCTCCACAACCAAACCTTCAGACGTGAGAAGATACTACTTCTTCGGTATTAGCATTTGTCGCGAAATCCGTGGCTATTACCCGTGAGCTCGTTTGAAGTCCTTTTAAAATGACTAAAAACGATTTGATGAAAATGTTTTTGGAACCAATCCTCCTCAGTAAAAATGCAAGTGTTTTTAGAATCTAAAAACACTTCCGCCAAAAGCGCTTTTAGTCATTTCAAAAGCAAATTTCCAAACAAGCTCCAATTTTGTAACCAAAAAACGGATGTGTTTCTCTTGTGGAGCCGATTTCAATTCCTGCTCCATGCTCCATACAGTTTAGATTGGTTTGAAGTAAAATATCGCTGCGTTAAACAACGTAGAATATTGCTTGTAGTGCATTGTTTTTGGACTGATTGAATGTGCATTTCATATGCAGATAAAAACAGTACAAGTTAGCAACATCTCGCAAGCCATTACTGACAGGGATATCAAGGAGTTCTGTTCATTTTCTGGAGACATTCAATATGTTGAAATGCAACGGTACACATTTTTTACTTATATCAGTTACAGTTATAGGACATTCGCGATTCTGAAAATTTCGGTGTTACATTTTTGCAGGGAAACGGAAAATACACAGCTCGCCTACGTTACCTTCAAGGAATCGCAAGGGGCAGATACAGCAGTTCTTCTGTCGGTACGTTCACTGCCAATCCAAGATTGTTAACCGCATCGAGCTGATTTGGGTTCATGCGTTGCTTGTTCGCGTATATGTTAGCCGAGCCTAATGCAGAAGGCATTTTTCACTACCAAGTGTGTTGTTTTTCTTTTAATTCAGGGAGCCACCGTAGCTGATCTTGCTGTCACCATTAGACCCGCCAAGGATTACAAGCTGCCTCCTGAAGCTATTCCGCTCCCATCAAGCCCGGTAAATACTATGGCTTGCATCCATTTATGTGTTATATATCTTTCAACCATTTAATCTTGCGGAGCGTAAATTTGGAGGTAAAATTTTCAGTCCTGTTCTGTTTCGAGAGTAGAACATAAAAATTGGAGGCCGTATGAAGATTTGATCATTACTTGATAGTCTTATGTGCCTAAAACTTCTTGTGTGCGCGCGCTTCAAATGAGTGGCGTTTCTTACTGTAACGTATTCACCTTTGAAGGAGAAGAAGCCGGTTGCTGCTAGTTCTGCTGTAAAGAAGGCAGAAGATGTGGCCAGCGCTATGCTCGCCAAGGGATACATCTTAGGAAAGGATGCCATTAACAAGGCGAAAGAGTTTGATGAGAGGCATAAGTTGACGTCAAATGCCTCTGCCACAGTTGTTTCGATTAACCAGAAGATGGGGCTGACGGAGAAGCTAAGTGCCGGAACAGCTGTTGTAAGCGAAAAGGTGAAAGAAATGGATCAAAGGTTCATGGTATCTGAAAAGACAAAGTCCGCCTTTGCTGTTGCTGAGCAGAAGGCAAGCAGCGCCGGATCTGCTATCATGAGCAACCCTTATGTGTTGACCGGGGCTTCTTGGGTTTCAAACGCACTCAGCGCAGTTGCAAAGGTGGCTGATGATGTGGGCATGATGACCAACGAGAAGGTGGAGAGGGCCGAGGAGGAAAAAAAGGAGATCATGGACAGGCAGAGGACAGAGGTCATCACTGACTTTGCCCAGACCCAACTCGATAAGTCTTCTGGTCCCAAGCCTCCTCTTCCGGTCAGTTCTCCCGATGACATGAAGGCTGGAGTTAAATGACCGGTGTGTACAGATATGAAGTATTTTTCGGTTTTCCCTGTATCTATGGTTTCATACAAGGATTCTGTTGTAAAGTAAAAAAAACCTTGTTCAGTAGGGAATGTAGTAGTCGTTGATATGATAAATCTGCAAAGTTCCACGTAAGAGTTTTAAGTGAATTCAGGAAGGCAGAAAGTTTAAGCATCTGGTGTCATGAAATCGAAGAAAGCCAGGCCAGTATTTTGGAAATGCCGATCAACCCGACCATATAAACCTTCAAACTTTACGCAGATATTCAAGCATTAGAGCTAGAGGTATCAATAATTCAATCCTTAGCAGAGCATCCACTAGATTTATGTATGCTAGAAAACCTCATACATTTTCTCTAGACAATAACAAAAAGTTGAGAACCCAAGCATGAAAAGCAGTTTCGTTTTCCCGAATATTTTCATGGTGAGTAATGACAAGCTTTTCAAGCAGAAGTTCTTACAGTTTACGTGTGATCCTTCGCAACCATTTAGAAGGTACAATTTCTGTTATTTTTATGGAGTGATTACAAGTTACCACAGTGTCGTGTTGATTGACAAAAGAATCAGATTCGTTTTACCTCTTGATCAGGCTTTAGAAGGCTCAGCTCGATCTACCTTCCGTCTATGTCTTTGGATGAGTAGGAAATCAGAAACATAATGGTGATGTACATGTTCCTTTACCTGCTAGGATGCTCTCATACATACTTTAACAACCACTCTAGGCTCTGTCAAATGTAGCACATTGTCAGCTACGTTAATATACAATGATTACATTAAATTGCAATCGAAACTCTTAGGAACTTAAAATGGAGAAATGAAAATGCAATTGAAATTCATTATATCAGAATTCATCCATACCTCTATGCATTCATGTAGATCATCACCTTCTGTTCTCACATGAGTCTGCAAAACCATGAGATCGCGTCAATAAGTAACTGAGAACTGGATGTGTTCTTCATGATAACAGAACCCCGTTGTGCTACATTATAGTCTAATGTAGTTTGAAAGAAAAATTCTGGCAATTACCTCTATTACTCGTTGGCGGGACACATCACGATTGCCTTCTAAAGAAGCCAGGATGACAAGAGCAGCTGCAACAGTTGAAGGCCAGTAACGAAGTTGGCCGTGGTCCTGCATCTGCAGCACTGCCAGGTACTTGGCCCTCTTCTCCACCTGTCCATCAGCTCTAGCAACTTTCAAGTAGAACCTGCGTTATCCGAATTAAACTCTGGCAATTCAGTTCAAGGGATAAAGATAACAATATTGCAAGGGAAACTGTATATGCATCATGTCTAATATAGTAGCATTTGGGAGTAAAGGGGGAGGGTGGGAGTTACCATAAAAAGTTATAGATGGTGGGGAGAAAACACTGGAAGCTGAGGACCTCCTGAACTAGCCATTCCATTGCCACCACTTCACTTCTGCTGTACAAATTGCTTCCTACGTAGAACTTCTTCTTCCGCACGCTGAAAATGGCCATCAGAAAGGTATAAGAACAAAATCGTGACATATCTTGCTTTGTTATGTCTCAAATGTATTTGAAGTACCAAACAGAATAGACAGATATGAAAAGTATAAATCTGAACCAGTTGTAGGGCTGGTTTTCTTCAATTCTTGCAGCCAGCGTCAGGCAGGCTATTCCAGCAGTCTGAAGGGTCCTTTTGTTCTTGAAATATCCTTTGCTTAAGAATCTGTCAAGAAGGCTTGCTCCTAAAAACTTCGTCTCCGCCTGTAGCTCCGTTTCAGTAGACCGCTGCTTGTTGGAAAATCAATCAAAAGCACATTAACAACAAATAATGAAAGATTATAAGCAACACAAATTGACAATTAACTACTAAATCACGATTTTTAATTCTTAAATAGCCACCCATTACTAATTAGAAATTAAATGCCAACTAATTAATCATGATTAAGCATTAAAATGTGTGAAATTCTCTTATACGCGGAAAATCGTGAGCATACATATAAAGTCTTGTCCAACAAGCAACAAACTCTAGGTGCCCCCAATAAATGTTACAAGTGCCCGTGCAACGACTGCGTAGTAAGTGCGTGCAACGTGAAAGTAATGTAATTAATATGTCCAAAATTCCGGTTGTAAATTAATTGTATGGAATTTACGTAAAAGCATATTTCACAAAGATGTATACTCTCATGCACCCTGAATATTGGCTAATATGTTGTATCCCATGCTTTGGCCAATAGGAGAACAGAAAAACCTGTGATAAAGTACATGTTTGATTTATCAATGACGTGGCATGAAATCATTGGATGTTAAATTAGTTGTTGGAATCGTGAATGTAGATGGTACATACTACACTAACGGCATATTCTCTGGAAATAAACCAGAACTAATTACGGCTCTTAATTGAACTTCGTTCGGAAAAGGAAACAAAAACGGCGATTAATTTGTGAAACGAGGTTTTCGGTAAAGCGACTCACCTCGATGATCCAACGGACCATTTGCCACCGTTGCTGGAGGATAACATCGCCGCACTCCGTCGTGGAAGAGTAGTCCTCCGTGTAGTCTCGCAAATACACTTGCATCCTCTCTCTTTTCCTCAGCAGCTGATAGCTCTCTTCGTCCTCCTCGTCTTCGAACATAAGAAACTAAAATGATAATTATTAATATAATAAAATATGAAATATATTAAAATCTTTGCAAAAAATAAATAGAAGGTGTAATTCTGTTTGGCTGGCGAGAAAGTGCAGGAAAGCAAGGGAAAATTGAACTAGTAAGCCTGGACTTGAGGAAACTTACTGTCGATTGATCTTTACACACTTCGTTAACGCGGGAAGCATCATCGAGACCTGAAGCAGTGCTCGATCTCGAAAATCCTTCTCTGTATTGGAGGAGCAAGGTGAAAGTAAGTGAAGGAGTTGAATCTTCATCCGAACGCTCTGAGAATTCGCTTCCAGAATCGAAGAAAATAGACGGCGTGTACTCTGAGATATCGAGATCGGAATTCACGTCGAAAATATCCGATTGGAGCTCCGAGAACGTCTGACTGGAAGAGTACCCTGAAACGTCGTCGTAAGAGAGTTGCTCCTTACAGGCGAGGTCAGAGTCGATTGGAAAGCTCTCCGGCCTCTGATCAATTGTCGATTCAGAGTTTGAAACGATGAAATTCTCGGCGAAGTAGTTTCCCGAAATTGCAGGAAATTCAAATGCCGGTGCTCCACCATCATTGGCCGTTTTCTCTGCTAGTTTGACTTCAGAGCACAATTCGACGCCAGAATTGGATGAAGTGACTTCGTTTTCCTTCAATCCAAGCGAAACATTATCGCATTCGGAAATCTCCGATCTAGTAACGGCTTCAGAGCCTTCATTTCCTCCAATTTCCTTTTTCAGCTTCAAATTTCTCTCAGCGAAGCCTCCAAAACCAGCTCCAGAATTAGACTCCACGCACGAGGATTCCGAAACCTCAGGTTCGCCGTCTTTCTTTACCGCCTTTCCTCCACCATACGATCTCGTAGTTCTCCGATAAGGTGCGTCGCGGTACTTCTCAGCTCCGGAGCCTTCAGTTTCATCGAACTGCCTCTTCCTCAAAGTCGACTTCGCCTCGCTCTCAGATCCGACGGAAACTCTGCTCGACTCGCACGAAACTTCACCGCCGAAGTAGAAACACGAGCTCGAGTTCACGGAGAAACCAGAGAAACCGGAGGTCTCGTTGCCAGCATTGAACTTCAGAGACGAGTACAGAACGGGAGAGATCTGAGGTCGCCTCCGGCGAGGGAGCACTGACCGGAGCTTCTTCTTCGCCTCCAGGTACGGCGCCGTTTGGAGGTTCTGCATCGCTCGGATTGATTTGCACTTCATTTTTTCGAATTAGTTTTGAAATTAGAGTTTGTGAATTTGCAGAGATTGTGTGTGTGAGGGCTGTTTGGTTGGTTTCAGTGTGAAAGTGAGAAATGGAGATGGAAGAGAGAAAAGGAAGGGAGTCAGTTTTGAGTAGGCGGTTATGGAAGTTGGAGGCGATAGGGCCTTTTTGGTCTTTTTCGTGGTCCCACGACTCATGTCAATACTCCGTGAATCCGTACATTGAGTGATGAGAGGAGGTCCTATTTGGTCTTTTTGTATTTGCATTGCGCGCTCCATTTACGTCAATGTTGGGCTTAATGTGGTATATGGGCCGTCCACTTCAGAGTTAATTAAACCAAAGGCCCAATATTAACTTTAACATCTCTTCCGTGGAAGGCCCAGTAGAGTTTGATTTCTGTTCATTACTTTTGGTTTAAAGGCCGAATAATAAAAATCAATAACAAATACTTTCGGGACCCAATAAATGGTAGAATCATATTCAAATGTCTTGCAAAATTTTTCTTAACTTCCACTCAAAATATTTCCTAAAACTTAATTTCAATTTTTTTTTCACAAAATCTGTGAGTATAACCCATGTTTTCAACTCGATTTTAGGAATTTTTGTAGAAATTAATTATAAGCCAAAGTTTGAGTCATTATCGTCACGTCACATGTTTCCTAAATTTAATTTAGGACGCTTTGAAGATTTTCGGCATATAAAAAAAAATTTAGGCGAACACTATTAGTTCATATTATTATTTCTACTTTTCTACTTTAAAAATCAATAAAAAATACTTTCGAGATTCGATAAATGGTAGAATCACGTCCAAAGGTCTTGCAAAATTTTCCTTAGCTCCCACACAAAATATTTTGTAAAACTGAAATTTCAATTGTTTTCACAAAATCTGTGGGTTACCACGTTTTGAACTCGATTTTGGGAATTTTTACAATATTAATTAAGCCAGAATTAAAGTCATACTCGTCGCGTCACATATTTCTTAAAATTAAAATTGGACATTTTGAAGATATTCGGCATATTAAAAATTATTTAGGGGCACACTATTAGTCCATATTATTATTGCTACTTTTCACCTTTAAAAATCAAGAAAAGTACTTCTGGGATCTAATAAATGGTAAGATCACATTTAAAGGTCTTGCAAAAAATTTCCTAAGCTCCCATACAAAATATTTTTTAAAACTAAAATTTCAATTTTTCACAAAATTTGTGAGTTATAACCCACGTTTTCAACTCTATTTTGAAATTTTTTACAGGATTAATTATAAGCTAAAATTTGAGTCATTCTCATCGCGCCACTTGTTTCCTAAAAATAGTTTCCGGACCTAATAAATGGTAGGATCACATCCAAAGATCTTGCAAAATTTTCCTTAGCTCCCACGCAAAATATATCTTACAGCTTGAAATTTTTTCATTTAAAATTGTGAGTTATAACCCACCTTTTCAAATCAATTTTAGAAATTTAATGAGATTAATCATAAACCAAAATTCAAGTCATTCTCCCACACCACATGTTTCCTAAAATTAATTTAGCACATTCTGACGAATTTCGGCATATGAAAAAAATGTTTAGGGGCCAATTATTAGTTTATATTACTTTTTCTATCTTTTTTTCAAATTTCAAAATTCATAAAAAAAAATAGTTTCGGGTTTTATTAGATGGTAGGATCTCGTTCAAAGGTCTTACAAAAATTTCCTTAGCTCTCACATAAAATATTTCCTAAAACTAAAAATTTATGATTTTCATAAAAATTGTGAGTTATAATAACCCACGTTTTCAAATCAAATTTGGAAATTTTTACAAGATTAATTATAAGCTAAAATTCAAGTCATTCTCGTCCCACTACATGTTTCCTAAAATTAATTTAGGACCATCCGAAGATTGTCAGCACATAAAAAAGTATTTGGGGGCGACTATTAGTTTATATTATTATTTTTTATTTTTTAACTTTAAAAAGCAATAAAAAATAATTTTGGAACCTAACAAATGGTTTGATCACGTTCCAAGGTCTAGCAACATTTTTCTTAGCTCCCACGCACAATAATTTCTAAAACTACAAATTTCAGTTTTGTGACAAAACTGTGAGTTATAACTCATGTTTTCAAATCAACTTTAAATCTTTTTATAAAATTAATTATAAACCAAATTTCGAGTCATTTTCGTCGCAAGGCGGTTTTGCTACTCCCGGGGCCATGGTAAATTCTGTTGTGTGCACAGTAATTAGTGAAAATTCTCCCACCCAGTTACCTACCATTCAAACTTAGGACAAACCAATAAAACGATCTCTGTCTAATAAAATTATAATTTGGTACCAAAATCCCTAACACCTAGAGGAAGCTTCGCTGTGACATGTAGATATCGTCGTCAACCTTTGGCAAAGTAAGCCCCTTCCAATCTCGTATTTACCTGTCGTTTCAATTCAGCTGCTCACGAAATTAGGGTTTCAATTCGTTATGCAGATTGTTTGATTGCGCCATTAAATTAGGAAGAACAAATCATGGGCTTGTCGTCTGCTACTACTACGGCTACCAATCCAGAGGGAGTGAAATTGTGCGTATTCGATTTGAGGAGGGGTCAGAACGAAGGGCAGGAGTTGGACAAGATACTCTTCTTCTTTCCAGCCGATTTGCCCTTCTCCGCCCAATTCTCTGTGATCGGGCTCAGTGAAGGACTCATCACATTTACAAGGTTTCTACTTTTTTTTGCAATTGCATTTTTTGGGTGGTTTTGGTTTTTAATTAGAAGAATTGGGTTGTGTTTTGTGCAGAATCTTCTCTCCGGAGGCTGCTTGTGAGGCCATTGAAGCAGAGAGGCATTCCCATGTCTTTTACGAGGCGGAACCTGATATCTGGATGGTCATGGTGAGCTCTTGTTTCTTCATTTTCAATTATAATTAAAGTTATGTTTCAGTTAAGTTCGAATCCCCCTGCCCGCAGTTTCGATTAGATTAGAATCATTGCTCTACATTGTGGTAGGTAGTGGAGAAAAACAAGGAGTTTGAACCGATTTGGAGAAGTGATGCATTGAGAAAGGTTCTCAAGGAAGTACATTCTCTTTTCGTGATGTTTCATGGATCGATAAGAGCGTTGCTTGATAAAGACCCCGGTGGAGGACTAACTCGACCTCATTTGTACCATTTCATCATGGACTATCTCAGTGGTAAGTCATCGTACAGTTGTGTTCCTACTAGTTGCATTGAAGTCTAGTTTTATATCGTCTTTGGGGTTAAAATTTCATTGTATAGTCACTAATTGCCAGCATTTCAAAAGCGGTCTCCATTCGATGAGTGTTGCTGGGGTAATACTGAAGTTGCTGTATCATGCTCTCTCGATTGGATTTTTCTTCCTGAGTAATGCTGAAGTTGCTGTGTCTCATGTGTGGTTTTACTCTCTGCGGCAGATTTTCTGGTTGGGAAGAAACTACTGCTACCCTCATTCCGTGACTCTTTGAAGGAGCGTGGAACTGTACAGATGCTTACTGTAGGGAGGGAAGCAGCGATCGAAGTTCAGGTATTTTATCAGAATATATTTTAATCATATGTTTGTGGAATATTTAAGCCTTGTTTCACATTCTGGCCAGTAATTTTCATCTCAGTTGCACAGTTATACTATAGATTCTTCGACCTTAACTTTTAATCCAGTGCTTCATTACCATTAGGTCTATCTATCATCACTAACAGTCCTATTAGCTACATTTTAGCCTACTTGTATTGTTCAAAACTCTACATCTTTGTACGTATGAGGACTTCTAAGTTCTACCTGAATCTCCTAATTCTAGTTTTTCGTTGTTAATGCAATATCGTATAGTTTTATTTTGTATATTTTTTAAATGATTTCACTTGTCTTTGCAGTCACTTGTTAGGGTACTTGAATCTTGTGCTGGGAACATGCCATGTCACTCATTAATCTTGTTCCAGGACCTGTTGGTGTCCACGACACTTTCTCCTGTATGGTTTGATCCTAACATTGATGTTTGTAATTCATTTCATATGCCATCTAGTGTTCAAGTTCAAGGAAACCTTAAGAACTGAGATAAATTTTTTTTCGAATTTTCATAGCAGGAGTGCTAGGAGTGGTGAGTACATTTGTTTTGGAAATGCTAACTTCTGTGAATTTTGTTTTCCTATTTTTGTTAGGATGATACGGTAAACCTCTTTGCATATGCTGTTTTAAGGTTGACTCCCCGTGCTTTATCCTCTGGAGGAAGTTCCTGGTCCTATTTACGGAAGGGAACTACATCCTCAAGCTCTAGTTTGGTCAATCCTGGTGCTGTTCCAGAACAATTGCATGGCTCACTTGACAACTCTCCTGCTGGAGATAACAGTTCTCGTGTTGTACGGCCCTTGCAGCCTGATAAGTGGTCCAAAGGAAAGGACGGTTTTCTTGTCAGTGATATTTGGGGTGCAGAGGCTAGTACCGGAGCTTCTGCCACTCCAACAGTTTTGCTCCACCAGACAGAGGAGAGAATGTATCTGTGTACCCATCAGCATAAGAGCCTTACCTTAATTTTTCTCCTTCCTGTTTCTTCGGTACTAAACGGTGATCAAGGTGTTTCTGCAGTGAAGCAGCAAGTTCTTGAAAACGTGAGCTGTCTAGCTCTGCTATTAACTGTAATGCTTATGTTATCAAACAGCTTCTCTAAATTTTGAACTTGTCATTTGGCATTGTCATTACCATTTACCAGGTATCCCTTAAGCTGTTGAAAGTTGAAGAGAAATTATCCAAAGGATGGGCTGGTGAGAATGCGTATCATGTTAGTGGATATCGGTATTTACTTGTGGATGGAGACAGAAATGTATCCAGGGCTTCTCCACCGGGAAAAGTCACAACCCTTACCAAGGTAAAGCATTCTGCCAGTGTTTGTCTTGCTGTGTTGTTCCGCACAGTCCCTGTTAAAAAGAGCCATTTGGTTGAGGATCTTCACCTTGTTTACTACATCAAAATTGTATAAATCCCTAGCTGCAGCCTGCAACTAAGAAATTATGGGAGAGAACTTAGGTGGCTATTATTCTATTCTTTTTCAGTGTTCTGCTTTTGTTACTGGTACCACGCTCATGATATTCATCGGCTAGACTTAGGTTGCATCTCCAGCGCATTCTTCTACTGGCCCTAACGCAGTTGGTTTTTGCAAGATGGTCTTAGTGATCACTGACCAGACTAGATCTCATGAAATTAATGCTGATTTATGACTTTTATCTATTGGTTCCAATTTGTCCATTTTTCTCGTCTGTGGCAGGACTCGTTACTTGCCTTAAGTAAGGTCAGAGAAGAAGTTGATTTGGAAAAAAGTAGAGCGAAATCGGATAATGCTGGTCATGAGACAGAATTGGAAGTTAGCATCAGAGCGAAAAACAATGCTTGGGTTATTGCTCGGGTTACAAGAGGGAAGGAGCTTTATATGGTTCTAGAGAAAGCCAATGAAACACTTCTCTATGCCTCTGATGCTGTTGAGAAGTTCAGCAACAGGTACCCCATATTTCCTTCAATGCTGCACTTTTTCACGGATCACTCGTGATGACAATGCGCTAGCATATTTACGGATTAGTTATTTTCTTTGAGTTTTGCAGGTACTGCAATGGAGCTTTCTCGTTGAATTAGGGGAAATTTCTTGTTTTTTGAGATGTATACCAAGTCAGTGCGACGAAATGAGAGGTGCGCCCTACCTGATTGTTGCTCAGAATTGTGCTATTTCCTCCTGGCTCTGTGCACCTCACGACGAACCGTTGGCCCTCAGCACTGTAGATTTCTGTGACAACACACTTGCAAGTAGAAAATAGATATCATTTATCATTACGTTGTCATGTACTTTCTGATTTGTATTTGCAAGTGTTTGTTGGTTTACTATTAGTCCACAGTCTCTATGATCGTGCCCTTTGACGCTGGGGAAGAGTTGTGCCTGTGTTGGGGCTGCTTCTTAAGGGCCTATACTGCTTTTTGGAAAGAAAAAAATGTTTATGACTACGTTTGACAGGAAAATTTAAAAGTGATTTAAGAGTAATGCAAGTGCTTCCGAGAGAAGCACTTTCAAGTGTTTTATAAGGAAACACAATGCTTGTATTTTCAATTGAAATTTCAACATGTTTGTAGCAAAAGCGTTTATGAGCAAAAGTGCTTTGTACATACATAGTAACAAGTGGACCCTTATGATCAAGAATTGATTGTAGGGATGAAAACAAAACAAAACCCAGCATTTGCATTTTCAGTGCTTTTTTCTTGTTTTTCCTTAAACTTTTTACCCAAGGCACTGCACTGAAGCAGCTCCTGCCATTTTTGAGAATCCTGGTTAAAAAAAAAAGTGTGGGAACAAAAGAGTCCTTAGTCAACAAGGCGACGCGTTGATTTGAAACTTGAAAGTAATAGCACTCTAATTTGTGGACAAGTAATTAGCTACGCGTCAACGCAAACCAGTCAACTGAATGATAAACTAACCTGTTTTGTGTTTCAACCTTCCATACAATTGCAGGCTGGAAGAAGATGCATCTCTCTCTTCCTTTTCGTTTCATCCCCACCTTGGTGGTTGCAACGGCAGTTGCATTAGCAGCGGTGACGGTATCATCCCAGTCGCAGCAGCCGTGGTCACTAGAACAGGAAGCCCGGGCTCTGCTTGCCAGCGGGTGGTGGAGTGGCTACATCAACCATCTCTGCGAGTGGCCCGGCATTACTTGCAACACTGCCGGAAGCATCACGGAGATTTCGCTGCCACCTGATTTCCAGTTGGGGGACGATGGCAATTTTGGAAAATTCAACTTCTCTTGCTTTCCAAACATTGTTCGTCTTCGGCTTCGTGCAAGCGGACTCAAGGGCAGCATTCCATCTGAAATAGGTACTCTTTCCAAGCTCAAGCACCTTGACCTTTCTTACAATCAAATTACTGGTTATATCCCTTCAAGTCTTTGGAACTTGAAAAACTTGGTCACCCTTCAACTATCAGCAAACAGGCTCACTGGTCCAATTCCCGCCACCATTGGCCGTTTAACTAGTTTGAAATCTTTGTCCCTCGAATGGAACCAGATCAACGGTTCCATCCCTTTTGAACTTGGGGATTTGAACAACTTGGAACATTTGGATTTTAGTGCTAACAGTCTCACCGGTTCAATTCCTCCGTCTCTTAGTCATCTACTCAAGCTCAAGGCACTAAACCTGTCCATGAACAAGATATCCGGAGTCATACCTCATGAGCTTTCTCAGTTAACACAATTACAGTATCTTGTTCTTTCGTCAAACCAAATTTCGGGTAACATAATACCTGAAATCGGATCACTTTTCAATCTTTTTGTTCTAGACCTTTCCAGTAACAGTCTAATAGGATCGATCCCAACTGATCTTGGGAATTGCTCGAACTTACAACTCTTGTTCTTGAGCCGCAACTTTTTAACTGGGAGTATTCCCGCTCGGATTGGTTACCTCTCTGCACTGACTAGTATCGACCTCAGCCATAACTCACTACGAGGAAAAGTACCTTCTGAGCTTGGGAGCCTGAGGAATTCGTTGGAATATTTGGACCTCAGCCACAATAAACTCACTGGTACCATTCCCCCTTCTTTCAATTTGTTGCACAGAGTTCGTCAACTCAATTTGTCATACAATTCCTTGAAGGGTCATATCCCAACTGATCTCCAGCTTCTGTTTCCACCTGATGCATTTGTCGGTGGCAACAATGATTTATGTGGTGATCCGATAGGCCTCCCCTCTTGTTCTCTAACCAGGTCCAGCAGCAAGAACTTGGAACTTGTAAAAATCTTGGTTCCCGGAATTCTTTTAGCTTTCCTCATTCTTGGTTATTTTGTTTTTCCTCGATGTTTATTACTTTGGAAAAACAAGTCCAGTGGAGTAACAAAGAACGGAGATTTATTCTCGATATGGAACTTTGATGGAAAAATCGCATACAAGGATATCACGAAAGCAACAGAGGACTTTGACATGAAATACTGTATTGGGAGCGGAGCTTATGGCAGAGTTTACAGAGCACAGCTACCAAGTGGAAAAGTAGTAGCCTTGAAGAAGCTCCACCATTGGGAAGCTGAGGAACCAGTTCTCTTCAAGAGTTTCAAGAATGAAGCAAGAATGCTGTCAAAAATTCGACATCGAAACATTGTGAAGCTTCATGGGTTTTGTTTGCACAGGCGTTGTATGTTCTTGGTCTATGAATACAAGGAAAGGGGAAGCTTGTTTAGTGTTCTGGGCAATGATGTTGAAGCTGCAGATTTGGATTGGACCAAGAGGTTACATATCATCGAAGGCGTAGCGCATGCGTTGTCATACATGCATCACAACTGCACCCTACCAATCATTCACCGAAGCGTGAGTAGCAGCAATATTCTTCTCAACTCGGACTTGGTGGCTTCTTTATCCGACTTTGGCACAGCACGGCTCTTATATCCTCATCCGCGTAATCGAACAGTGCTTGCCGGCACTCCGGGATACATCACTTATTCTTTGATTCGGCTCTTATATCCTAATACACTTGCTTGTTTTCCGTAAACCAGAACTTGCACACACATTTGCCGTGACTGAAAAATGCGATGTTTATGGTTTTGCACTTCGCCATGGTGAGCAATCCGTAGAAAAACAACAGCCTTCATTCATTCGCAGATAGAACCCGAAAACTTTATTTATTTGCACTTGCAGTTTAGTAAACAAAGTAATGCCGTCGTTTTTACATCATCTCAGATCATATGTTCCAGATTTTTTTACTTCAGAAAAGCGAAAACAAAAACAGAAGAAGAATGAAACAAAAAAAAAAACAGAAAAAATAGGGAAAGCCGAGAATAAAAAGTGCTTTTCGTAGAAGCAGTTGCCTCCACAAGAATCTACATGAGCTTGTAGTAGCAGTTGTCTCCGGCAAGGAGGAAGTCATAAGGAACGCCGCAGCCGCACCTGAAGCGAATGACTTGGCACTCTTCCAACCTCTCCATCCTCACTGATTCTTCAAATTTTCTCTCGCAATCATCCTGCAACAGCCCACAGCTTAATTAACACCAGAATTAATCCGATTTACGAACGAAAGAGATTAAGAACACCAGTAGGTACCTCAGCAGCGCTAACAGAGTTAGTGTTCTGATTAGCATCCTGATCAGCTGGTGACGTGCCTCCATTTTCATCTTGTTCTTGATGGTGTTGTTCTTCGTCGCCGTCATCATGATCTTCGACTTCCATGACTTGTTGGAACCACAGGCTCATCTCTCTTACCCGGTTCTTTATCCTCGCAAGCCTCTGGAACCACACACAATAATCAATTTCCAAGAACCACCATGAAATTATTAATTAGCAAATTTAATTAATTCAAGAAAACCTTAGAATTGGGAGTTCCGTCATCCTCGTCACTGCCAGAGACGGTTTTCGGTGAGCGAGGAGTGGGATCGGAGACGGAGGGGCGGAGTTTGGGCTTCGAATTAATGGCCGAGTCAGAGGCAGAAGCGGAGACTTTATTGGTTGTTGGGGCAGGTGGTGGTGGTGGTGGTGGTGACGGCGGTGTAACCGTGACGGTAGGCTCCGGAGGAGACTGGGGAGCCGGAGGAGTTGGGTTGAAAAAGAAAGTGTCGGAAATGCAGCGGCGGAGAAGAGGAGGAGTAGGAGGGAGAGAAAGCTTCTCTTTCTTGGCGTTGGGTTCGGATACCGGCGGCGATTGGGTGGGGGATCGCCTCTTCAATGTTTTCGTGGGATTCTTGGGATCAACGACGGAGGAAGACTTGAAGGTGCATTCAAGGCGGAGCCCGGACAACCGATTCCTCACCGCCGCCGTCTCCTCCACTGAGTAGCCTTCGTTTTCTCTTCCTCCGGTGAAGTCAGCCATTCACTATCTGGAAAATGTGTTTGATTGTCTTGAATCTTGATTTCAATAATTGAATTAGGAAGTCTCTGTTTCTGTCAAGCGCCTGAATATCTAAACTATATATAAAGGCCGACGAATCAACCGTTGACGGTTGATGATAGCGCCAAAACGAGAGAATTTGGACAAGGCTTTGCTTGTATAACACTGAATAATGTTAATGACCGTTGACCAATCATCCAAGCCCGTCTAGCTCAGTTGGTAGAGCGCAAGGCTCTTAACCTTGTGGTCGTGGGTTCGAGCCCCACGGTGGGCGATTTGTTGATTTTTTTATATTTGTTTTCGTTCTCTTTTATTTATTTATTTATTTTTTTCTTTTCAAACAAATGATATTATATACGTTAAGGTGGAGGGGAGGTGAGCTTAGTCTCACAATGAGTTAGCAATAATGTAGTTCAAATTCTCCTTTAACGAGAATTGAACCTAAAACCTCTTATTTACAAGCAAAGAGGAACACCACTATACCGTAATACTAAGTGATATTTGTTTCGTTCTCCTATATAAGCATGATGAATTTTAAATCCAGCTGTCAAAAAGCTGTACAAATGGCAAGTTTTGAGTACTAGTACCATGTCAGCTGTACAAATGGCAAGTTTTGAGTACAAGTACTACATCTGACGTGGTACTGGTACCGTATCACTCTCATTTCTCCAATACGATACGGTTCACCGCAGTCGCAAGTGCGTATACAACCGTAGCGACTGGTAGTTCACTAGCCAGTCTAAGAGCAATTTAATCAATGTCCGCCTGTATGCCGACGAAAATCTCCTGTGAAGTCTCGCAGAAGCTATGATGTCAACCATAGTGTTTAAGACATGTATGTTTCTTGACCTAAACAGACGTGAACAAGTCAATTCCAGGGAATGTCTCAACTAAATAACTTCTAAGTTTAGAGAGTAACCTCACGAAAACACGTATAATCTGGTTAGGTTGACCCTAAATTACAACTCACATCACTTAAAGTAACCCCAGATGCCCACACTACAGTTAACCACAACATCATTGTCTCTCATTCATCTAGTGTTGCCTGCCTTCTGCTTCGCCTTCTCGATAAGCGGCTTCAACTGCTTCTTCTCGGCAAGAATCTTGAGGAAGTTAAACAGAAACGGAATGTAGTTGTGCTTCCTGCGAATGTTATCTGTTCTCCACTTCTTAAACTTCTCTTCCTCCATCAAGATCTTCTCTGTTGCACCCTCAATCCCAGCATTGATTTCCGAAAGAGCTTTGTTCAGCGCTTCAAACTTGCTACCGTCAGCTGGTCTATCCTGCTGCAAGGCAGACAGCTGCTGCAAAATACGCTCCCTCTTCTTTTGGAGTTCCTTGAGTTCAGCAGTATACATCTCTTTCCTGTTCTTGATAATGGCCAAGAGATTGAATCTTATCTCGCTTTTGGAATACCTTTCAATACGTTCCTGGATTACAGGTTGTACCATCTGCAACCATTCCATGTCACCTTGCCCGCTGGGGCACTGTCCAAGGCTAATGGGTCCCTCCTTCAGTCCATCAAGCTCATACAGGACTCCATCGACAGGCAAGTAGCTTATAAAATGGTAGACGTCATCATCTTTTCCAGCTACCTTCTGCTCATCAGAAACAAATGGCTCAGGCCTTGCAAAACTATTATGGGCTGCACGGATAGCTTCACTATTGTTTATTGCCAATCCTTTCAGTTCAGGTGGAAAGTTCTTTGTAAATTCTTTCAGTTTTGACAGTTCAGGACCAATGTCAACATCCGGACAGTTCATGAGGATAGACAAAATTGCTTGTGTTGCACAAGCATTATTGATGACCTGAGAGGATATACAAACCTTCTGATAAGAAGACCTTACAAATATACCACTAATCAAGAAAAGTACCTTTACAATTAAAAAACCAACCTGGCTTGCGAAAAACAAATTAGGATTTGGATCCTTAATTACAAGGCGGTCATCCTTTTCCCCTGGACGCCATTTGAATAGGAAAATCAAACCATACACTGGCCTGTAAATTTCAAGGGAAAAACAGTAACTAAAACAATGATAACATAGATATAAACCTCAAACATTTTTTTCAACAAAAATGAGGATATCTGCCTGGGAGATAAAATCTTAAACAGAAACTAACGTACCTCAGATTGTTCAGAGAATCGAGGTCCAATGAATACAGTTCCTCAACCTGCAAGGTCATACCAATGGAAATTAAACAATTTCTTTGATAAGTAAAAGTTGGATATAGCCAAGAAGGGGAAAAGGGTTAAGTGTTGGATATAATCAATCTAACAACAAAAGGAGCAAAGACATCTCCAAGAAGTAGTTATAGCCTAACCTCGAGCAGTAACAGTGGGCGTCAACTATAAACTAGGATAAGTGCATCCCAAACATAATATAAATATAGATTCATAGACATAAAAGACGTCAAAGAAAGCGTACCTGCACGCCTTTTACTTGCATCTGCTGAATAAGTTCAGTGAACACCCCTGAAATGCAAAGCAGAACCTTGAAAAAACTAGTACACTTCATGTATACTACAGCTGTTCCAATTTCTCGAAAATTATAAATTCGCTTCCAGGAAATTTGAAGTCCTGCGTATTAACCATTACTAAATTACCCAAATCCTATACACTATCAATCTGCGTCGGCAGATCACAACCTTCATCACTCAAACGGTCCCAAAAATACATTCCCAAAACCAAACTTAAGGACCCCATAATGCTTATTGCTAGATATACCAATTCTCGTAGGGCATGTGATGTGTTTCAGTTCAATGATATATCAAAAATAACAACGAACCCTACAGTTCCACGTCAAGACTATCGCTCAAACACTAATATACATGGTACCAAATGGACAAGAAAGATGTAACTATACCTGGGTCGGACTCAATCGTGCACCAAGACATGATGAAAAACAACTAATCTGGTAAGAAAGGGTGAAAAAAGGGTAATTAAGAACACCATAAGAGGGAAAAAAAACAAATATAAAATTATGAGCCTTAAACAAATTCGGGGCACAATTGTAGCAAAAAATTAACAAAATTACTTAACTTTAGATGCATAAATTAACACAAAAGAAACATAAAGTGGCAGCCCAGCAAACAATTTACAACAAACCTACTAATTCCTTCACAGAAATGATATGTTGGTTCGATAATACAATGCAATAAAATCAATGTCAATCGACGGAGTACGAGAAGCCCCAATTCAGGCAAAGAGGGTTTTACTTTTATTCCTCTATTCGGTTCAAAACGACGACGTTAGCAGGTCCCTGGAATAAGAAAACCAGTGAAGTAACGGGGAAGAAGACAGAAGTTACCAGAAACCGACACGACGTCGTCTGCCTCCTCCACCGCCGTGTAGAGATTTTGTGAGCGAGTTGGTCTGCGTCTCGTCCCCCGTTCCTTCCTCCTCTCTGTTCGCCTCTCTTTTTTCCGTTTTTCTATTTTTCACTTTAATAAAGCCCATCATGATGAAATTAGGCCCAGAACAGAAAAGTAAAAATATGGGCCGAGGCCCAAATCCGAACTTATAATTTTTTTTTTAAATTAACAAAAAGTCTAAAAAAACTTCACTTTTAATAAAAAGTTGTTTTTAAATGTATAGTTAATAGTACCAGAGAAATGTATAAATGTGGTTTTTCGTTAAAAGTAAACAGTACCGGGATTGTTTTGTTAAAACTCCCTAGTTTTTTTGGGTTATCTTTTCTTATTGATAGATTTTCTGGCATTGCTGTGGATTTTTTTGAGTATTTTTGGTATGTATTTGGATTTTTTAATTTAATTTTTTGGTTCTAATGATCAAAGATTGAATTCTCCTGAGCTTATTGATTGCTGAATATCTGGAGACCTAAACTGAACTGAAGAACATCCATGCATGATCAGATTTTGCTACATGTCGTTTTGTTTCAGTTATTTACCAGATAATTGATTGGTCCTTTGTGTAATATTTAATTATCTATTAATTGATGTTGCTAATTTGCTATATATCCAGATTATTTATAAAAAGCAAATGTAAACACAAGTAATAAAACACATCTAAAAATAAATTTGTCAAGAGAAGGTATACAGTTCGGTTTTGGTAAGAAAACCTGGTAGGTTCAGTTTTACAGAGATTTATTATTATTATTATCTCTACTAATTACCCAAACCTTCTTTGTCAATAAAAAAAAAGTGAAAAGATAAATTAGTCTTCTATCATAAAAAAAAATAATGGCCAATAACGTAATTTCACAAGTCTAAATTTTACTATTTTTTATTGAAGTTTTACCTACAGGTGATGTTAAAATACCTCCAATATTAAAAAAAAATTAAAAATATTAAAACCAAAAACAAAAACCTCCCACTCCCCCCCCCCATTCTCTCTCTCCCTCTCCCTCTCCCTCTCCCCCTCTTTTTCTAAAAAAATGTGTTCATGCACATCAAGTGTGTAGGCAAATACTAGTTATTATAAGAAAATTGTTATTAGCACTCTAAAAATCTCATTTGACACTCCAAATTTTCTATAATTAGAAAGAAAAATACACTTGTAAATAGTATAAAATGAGATTTTTAGAATGCTAATAACAGTTACTTATTATAAATGTAATATATTAGCAACTTTTTAATTTCGCAAGTTGATTTTTATTTCTAGTTTCTACTCGAACTTAATTTATTTATTATGCCACTTAAATTTTGAAGTTACATAATAAAAATTTAGCATTCACATCAAACTCACATAAATATTGGCATATGAGTATGGATTAGGCTTGTGCCTCACACAAGCCTAGTCGGCTAATGTATTTTTAGCTTCAGCATTTTTAAGTGCCCTGTGGCAGACACACGTCTTAATATAAAAGACAATGGAATATGTCTAAAGCTAATACTAAAATACAAAAGTTGAAATAAAATATACTACATAACTATAAAAACTTAAAGAGTATTTTGAAAATAGTAATAGTTGTTATGTAGCCAGGTTCACATGCCCAATAGCAATGATACGAAGAGCTAGCTTTGCTATCCTAAAAGTCTACTTACTTGCAGAACTTCTTGTTTGAAATTTTAGGTCCGGTTTTTATTGGTATTTGTTTTTTGCTCACTCGTTACGATTTTCTTTTTGTGTTTTTAGCACTTATTTCGAGGAATGAATAAGTAGAAACTGCTAACAGTAATTGGTTAATGACTTCGTTCGTCTCTTTTGGGGATGCGGTAATTTACTTACTTACTCATTTTTATTGGCAAAAATAAGAATACTTTGAAAAAATTTGGTTAAAAAATTCAAAGTTATCAGAATTGGTAAATACATTCCGATTTGTTCCCAATTCTTTTAAAATATTCGGATTCGAAATTAAAAAATTTACTATACAAAAATGGGCAACTTATTTCAACTTGCACCGCTAGATGCTTGTGAATTCGGTCATCGTGGCTTGCGGTGCACACACGCCTCTGAAGTGACAGATCAACCAATAAAATATTAAAAACAATGAAAGTGGCCTGTGGCAGACACACGCCTTAATATAAAATATAATGAACAACATGTATTTAAAAACTAATACTAAAATACAGAAGTTGATAACAACACGTATCATAAAATTATAAAAAGTCAGAATACTATAACAAAATTTATCGAAATACGTGCAGAACAGTGTTATAAAATTCGGATGGAAAATTTAGTCATTGGAATTGCTAAATGCCTTCCGATTTGTTCCAGTCTTTTAAAATGATTCAAAGAGAAATGTTAGAGAAGATTTTTAAAGTGAAATTTATTATAAATTTTCTGTCATCTCATAATTTAACGTTAATTTTTTATTAATATTACAAAAAAATAATACAAGAAATATGAAGTGACCTAAAATATATGAAAATTTTACTTTTGAAAGATTTTTTTTTAACATTTCTCATCAAAATCAAAATTTTTGGATTCGAATTTAAAATTTTTATTGTAAAAAATGGCCAAGTCATTTCAAATTGCACGTCAATGTGGTCATCGAGGCATGTGTTGCGCACACACGTTTGAAGTGACAGATAATCAAAATTGAACACAACTCTGTATTTATTCTCTTTTCTTAAAATTCTTATGGGGGAGTTCAGACCTATTGTGCCAAGATTTTCTCTGCCTACCTTCTCCCTGTATTTTGGTATCGACAAGTGTTAATTTTTGTTCGACTAGAGATTTAAAAAAAAAAAAGAAAAAAATTAAAAGAAAATGAAAGAACCAGAGCAGAAACTGGGAAGAGAATCTTCTCCTGAGCTCCGGATGGGGATCCTCCTGATTAGATCATCCGAATTATTCAAATTTAATTTAACAATTCTAAACAGAAAGATCCTCTAAAAATTATCATAATTGCAATTGTTGAATTAAGTTTGAACGTCTTCAGGAGAGGATCCTCTTCCGCAGAAACTGGGTTACCGCGCTGCCATTTTTCAATCAAGTTCTCCCTCGTGCTATTTCTTTTTTCCTTCTCGTCTTTCCCTCTTCTTCGAGAGGATTTTTTTCCTTTTTACTTTCATATTTTTCTTCTTGTTTTTCTGAAACCCTAACCTTAAAATTGCACCTGCACATTAAAATTGTATAATACTCCCAGTTCCGTTGGGTCTTTTTCCGATGTGGTTCGAGTTTCCCATTAGAAGGGATGAAGACCTGAGATTCCCAGGCCTTCATGTGGTTCGATAGAAGCAGACCTTCTGAATAAACCTTCAGAGCCACAGATCCTGAAGTAATATTTCCCACTGAATGTAAAGGCTACAACTGTCTGTACCCATATAATTGAATCGACTGTTTTTTATATGTTCAGAAGACTCTCTCTGACACCTCACAATTTAACGTCAATTTACGTACTAACATTATAAAACATTATAAAAATTTCTATTTTTGATGGAATCTTCTTAGCATTTCTCTTTCCTAATTTATATTCCGAATTCCGTCTCCATATGCATGGGATACCACCTGCATGCCCTACTATGCATGCAAGCGTACGAAGTCTTGGATTTTTGTGTGCAAGGCCCGCAGGCAGGTTTATTCATTAATAATTTGGTCATCATCATCGTTTGTTAATCCAGTCAAAACTTCACAACCGTTCGGTGAGCTAGATGAGATTGAACTTTAGGGATGTGATTGGATTGGCAGTGATATGTAAGATATAACTTGTAACCATATATAAGGATATGTTAGATAAACCACTCTATTATGGATTCATAATCCATCATGTCCACTCATGTCGATCTCACATTTTGACATAGCAAAAAAAGAGTGGACTCAAGTCTATTTTAGCTAGTCACAGCCTATCCCAACCTGCCCATCAAACAAGCAAAAATATTTGGTTATTAAAAAACACATAGATAAAATGAGGGGAATTTGGATGCGGTTCCTAACTACCAATGTTCTTTAACTGAAACCTTAGTGATTTTCAATTTTTTATCGAAGTCCTTGACATTAATGTTATAATGTATTTTTATGTAAATTATTTTATTTTTAATTAAAAATCAAAATTTGTAGTTGTTTACAGTAATGAGATTTTAAATAAACCTATAATTTATAGGATTAAAAAGATTATTTTAAAAAAAAAAAAAATATATATATATATATATAAAATAAAAGATGAACTATATTGTCCAATGTGTGTGTGTGTATATATGTTGTGTATGTGTATATATATATTGACACATCTCGGGCTCGACTCCGTCGTAGCACGATATTGTCTGCTTTGGGCCCCAACCACGCTCTCAAGGTTTTGTTTCTGAGTACTCAGACGAGAACTTTCCAATGAGTCACCCATCCTGGGATTGCTCTCGTGCAAACTCGCTTAACTTCAAAGTTCCGAGGAACCCAAAGCCAGTGAGCTTTCAAAATGCCTCGTGCTAGGTAGAGATGAGAATATACATATAAAGCTTACAGGATCCTCACATCTGGGCAATGTGGGATCTTACAATCCACCCCCTTTAAGGGCCTAACGTCCTCTTCGGCATACTTCCGACTAGGGATTGGCTCTGATACCAAATTGTCACATCTCGCCCCGGCCCCTCACCACATCCCTGTCTCGACTCCGCCGTAACACGATATTGTCAGCTTTGGGCCCCGACCATGCCCTCACGGTTTTGTTTCTAGGAACTCACACGAGAACTTGCTAGTGGGTCACCCATCTTGGGATTGCTCTCGCGCAAACTCGCTTAACTTCGGAGTTTCGATGGAACCTGAAGCCAGTGAGCTCCCAAAAGGTCTCATGCTATGTAGAGATGATAATATACATATAAGGCTTACATGATCCTCATCCCTGGGTGATGTGGGATCTTACATATATGCATAAACATGGGTACTTCATCAAAACTAACCAAAAAATTAGTGTACCAAAACATGAGTACATTTTTTAAAAGCATAAAAGAAATAATAGATATTAGGCTTAATAATATTATCAAATTTCTTTCATTAAACTTGACATGAATACGTTCTGAAATCAACGAAATAGAATGTACCTATATAAGTTTAAAAAATGGATAAGAAAAAACTTGAATTGAGTTTATATATAAAAAATGGTTACATTTTATATTAAAAAATGGTACATTTTATATATAATAAATTAGAATATTTAAGAACGGATATATATAAGATTAACAAATTGAAAATCTTTTCATACAAAATCAATGGATCCAAACTTATTCTGATTTAATTTTTTTCATTTTGAAAATGTTTTGAATGGAAAATTAATTATATGACCATTAAAACCCTAAATCAATTTTATGTAACTAACTTGTAAATTCATTACTACATTAATGCTAGGTCTTTGATCAAAATCTAAAAACTGATAAGGTTTCCGTCAATGAACATTAATAACTGGAGAAAGAATACTAATTTTTCCATATAAAAAAATTATAAACAAATATTTGGTTATTTTGCGAAAAAAATTACAAAACATTATCATAAAATCTTTGGTTATTAGTAGACTCGTAAATATTAGAGAGATAATAACCATTCGCTTTTTGTATCTTATACATTATTGTTCCATTATAATTATTAATTTTTTTTTATTTATTTGAAGGAGCAACCAAATAGTGTGTACCTTAGAAGCAAAACCCACGCAAGACGTACACTGTGATTGTGAATCGGGATCCTCTCCGGATCTCGTGGTCTATAAATACAAAACCATTAGAGTACTAGTGTAAACCTAACGCTCCGATATCTAAACGGCTTCAAAACCCTATTTCATTTTTTTTTATCAATGGCTAATGACGGACAAAAGACCAACTTAGACCCCGAGAAGCAAGCACTGCTGAATAAGCACACCGAGAACCACTTCACCGCCGGGGAGATCGTCCGGGACATCATCATCGGCGTATCTGACGGTCTTACCGTGCCGTTTGCTCTCGCTGCGGGACTGTCCGGCGCCAATGCCACGTCATCTATCGTCCTCACTGCTGGCATCGCCGAAGTCGCAGCCGGTGCTATCTCCATGGGACTCGGCGGGTACTCTTTCGATTCAGCCATCCCTTGATATCACAGCTTGTTTGGTAATATTTTGATGCATTGGTATTTTATTGCGCAGATATCTGGCTGCAAAAAGTGAATCGGATCACTACATGAGGGAGCTGAGGAGAGAACAAGAAGAAATTGTAAACGATCCTGATGCAGGTTTAATATGGATTATTTTCCTCTTTTAATTTAATTATCAGTTAGTTTAAAAGTTTACCCTATATTATGGTTACCTCACGGATACTTCACTTTGGTGGCGTATCGCATATTCGATACTTCGCAACGATACTCGTCAGATACTTTCGGGTACCCGTCGGATATATATCAAGTCAACGGACACGGCTTTGACTTGATGGATAGGTGTATCTCATATGAGGGTAACATATATCAAGCTTTTTGGATACTTTTATACTTTCAAATAAGAAATTAAAAAAGAGAATTTAATAGGAGACAAAGCTTCAATTGAAATCTGGTAAATATGAAGAGCTTGCCTCTTATTGAAACTATGAATACAACTCACACTTCTTCTATACGTATATATATGTGTGTGTGTGTGTATAACAAGGGAATTAGGTTTCCATTCTCCAACAAATTAAATAAACTTGAATTCAGAGATGAAATCAGATTCCTGTGTTATCAAAATATGTTCTAAATTATATCATTTTCATTTTTATATATTATTATATATTTTTAACTGCCATATCTATAGCATATCGGATTTTACTTTTTAAAGATTTTTCATATCATTTTATCGTATTGTATCTCCGTATCCGTATCCATATCCGTACTTCATAGATGACTACTCTTAGTCAAGTTAATGGACCGGTGTGCTCCGTTTTTGCTCTAAGTTGAAATCTATTTTCCAATTGTTTAGATTTTAAATTAGTTAAATTATTATTGCTTGTATATATAGAGAGTGAAATTTGTTTTTGTTTATGATGGGGTAATTGCAGAGGCGGCAGAAGTGGAGGAGATACTGGCGGAGTATGGAATAGAGGCACAAGAGTATACACCTGTCGTGAATGCTCTAAGGAAGAAGCCCCAAGCATGGCTCGATTTCATGATGAAGTAAGTTACTTTGCTTAAATTATGGAGTTATGCGTTAACTCGGTTGGATAGAGTAATATTTCGTTTCTTTGTACATAAAATTTTAATATGATCTTAAAAAATTCACCTTCTAATAAGTAAGTGTATATGCTTGAGAAAACTTAAAATGATAGGAAGATATTTTTCTTTTCCTTCGGAGATTTGTTCATAAAAAGAGAAAAGAATATTTTGTGAAGTAGGTAAAGTGATATGGGAATTGAAATTCTCGTCGAATTTCTATGTTCAAAGTTGATAGATTCAGAAATTTGGATTATCTAAGAAAGAGAAAGGATTTGAACTGTTCAAAGGTTTGGTTTTGTATGAAAGTGTGTGAAGTGATGGGCTAGAAGAGGCTGCATATTTTTATTTTATTTTAATAAACGATATTATCTACATTAAATGAGAGAATGTGAGTTTAGCCTCATAATGAATTAATAATGATATGTTTCAAACTCGTATTTGACGATAATCGAACTTAAGATCTCTTTACATTTAAATTCAATAATCCGAATTTCCGGATCAGTTAACTACGAAATAGAAATATGAAAAGAATCTTAATTCGTGACGTGGATATTCTGTGAACTGCACGAGTCGGCGGGTGGGGGTATATTTTGTGTTAAGTGTAAGTGCTTAGTCAAAAGTTGGCTTCTCTTTTGAAATATGGACAAAATCCATGTGGTCATCCATCACATGCTATCATTCACACCGTGAATAGATAAAAAGCACTTAAAATCTTTTATTCATTGGTGTTGAAATTTTGAATATCACACACTTCTCAGGATAATTATCTGCTATTCTGATAGGAGATCAGTTGTTTTGATCTTTTAACTAATTAGAATTTTAATTCATAGATAGCAAACAGTCAGTCTTTACCTAAAGAGTAAATTGTAATAATGGTCCTTCAACTTTAATTAAATTGGAACAATGGTACCTCAACTAAAAATTTATTATCATTGATCCCTCAGCTTATCAAAATGTGTAGCTATAATCATTTTCATCAATTTCGTCAAAATTTGATCAAAATAAGTTATGTTGGAATAATCATTTATATAATTAGGGTTCCTCAATCAAGGTGTGTAATTATGGTCAATTTCATCAACTACGTCAAATTTTTCGTCAAAACGAATTATGTTGGAATGACCATTACTACAATTGGGTTAAAGTTAAGGGACCATTTCTTCAGTTGAACTAAAGTTGAAGGACCAATGGTAATGAATTTTTAGTTAAGGGACCATAGCTGCACGTTTTGATGAGTTGAGGGACCAATGGTAATGGATTTTTAGTTGATGGACCATTACTCCAATTGAGTTAAAGTTAATGGACCATAGCTACAATTTACTCTTACCTAAAATAGTCGGGTTCTTTTTTGGACATGACGCTTCTTTACCGATATAATATTGATAAATCGTTGATAGCATTAGTACAATAAACATGTTAACAATAAAACATATTCACATATTACCGACACAATGATATCCATATAAACATTCACATTATCGATACCAAATTCGTTATGCACGGATTATTTATGCATGTAAGAAAATTGGTGGGTTATTGATCACCAATGAAATTTTGGTAGTAGGTCATGTAGAATGCCATTACGTTTGGTTTTGCACCTAGTCTTTAGTTAGCTCTAAATACTCCATGCCATTTCATAGCTTTCATCTAGTATAATTAACTCAACTTGAGTGATGATTCAGGTTTGAACTGGGATTGGAAAAGCCAGATCCAAGGAGAGCCTTGCACAGCGCCCTCACCATTGCCGTTGCTTACGTTTTGGGAGGAGCAGTACCCTTGCTTCCTTACGTCTTCTTTCCGAGGGCCAGGGAAGCTCTGGTTGCGTCAGTTGTCGTAACCTTGCTGGCATTGCTGATATTTGGGTACGCCAAGGGCCGTTTCACCGATAACAAACCCTTCTCGAGTGCCTTCCAGACTGCGTTCATCGGAGCCATAGCATCCGCAGCCGCGTTTGGCTTGGCAAAAGCCATCCATCCATGAACACATTTGTCCTACAAAATCATATACAACACCCCGTCTTTTGTTAAGATTGTTTTACGGTCGTATGCTTCGCTTCATGCTTCATGTTTGTTAAGAATGTTTTAAATTCGTATGCTTCGCTTCACGCTTCATGTTTGGAAATTTTGATGTTGCTCATTATTTTCGGTACAAGTTCATCCTGCGATCCCACTTCTACTTTTTCATCGAAAGCTAATAAGAGTAGTACACAAAAACGTCGTAAATACTTAGGAAATAGGTGGTGTTCATTTGTATTGAGAAAAATTGGAACAGCATTTGGTGTCCGCATGAATTTACAAGGTACAACATGGAAGCAGCGCAAAACTACAGTGACGCAGACAATTCTTCAACTCACTCTAACCAAGTAGCTATTACATTTGACGAAAAACACTCAAAATTAATGTACAAGAAGAGGAAAACTGTGAAGTGATCATGCCAAGTTGTGCCAGCCTACGAAAATCTGTCAATAAGCAAAATCAAGAAGACATAAGTCGATACAGTTTAGCGTACAGCATGCAACAAACAACGTTACTTCAAAACTCCAGGTAGCCTCGATGAATGAAAAGATGGTTTCCAACGACATTGTAAAAGAACAATGACACACATTATGATACATGTGAAGGATAAGAACCAACTCACATTTGTTAAAACTGAGTTGTGGACGAGAGATGGACTGAAAAGTGTCCACGAGAAGCTGTCACTAGAGCCGATAGAAAAAACCTAGTTACACAGATGTTATCCTGCTACGTTCCTGATTTTGTTCCATGTTGTTAGAGTCAGAAGCCAAATGTCCCATGTGTTCAGTTATAAATTCCAAGTTTTGAGAGCTCTCCGTATTAGATCCATAAACTGCTGATTCTAATGCAAAGTTCTGAGATTTCTTCATTTGCTCGACCAAATAATCAAAATTGTGTGAATCGTCCAGATCAGATACTATTGATTCCACCTCCATTCTAGTGTCAGCATGCTCTTCACCATTTTCCATTGTGCCTTCAATATTTTCCAAGAAAGGACCACCTAAAAGAAGCTGCTCCCATGCACCATCGTCAGATATATCTGGTAGGGTATATGGGTCGTGATTTTCTACAGGGCTCGACTTTTCATCCATTAGCATTTTCATGAAATCAGCATTCACAACAAAATCTTCCATTCCATCTAGATAAGCATCAGATTCCGGTTGTTTCTCTGAGCCTGAATTTGGTGGGAGTACATGCTTTGGGGCATCAATCATCGGTGGTTGGTACCTCACTATTGCACCACTAGAAACCACTGGTCTATCATCATCTCCACACTGTTCTAGCACATCGCCAGCTTCAGCAATTCGCCAATTATTTTCTTTTGGATGAAGAAGCTGAACCAGAAAACCAGGACTTTGCATGGCCGTCACTAGAAACGACAGCATCTGCTGCTGATTCTTCTCCATTCCACAAAGGCGGTTCCTCAAGAGGCGCAAGTTATTTTGCGAAGTTTCCTGGTGCTGCCTAAGCTTTGCCAATTCTTGCTTCATAGCAACTTTATCAGTCTTCAGGTTCTCAACTTCCCTCCATAGACCATTTTCACTAATGTTTTCAGATGGCCTATCCGGCCTTTGCTGTGATGCTTTTTTCTGATCTGTGCCCTGTGGATGTTTCCTCCTAGCAATATTCTTCAACAAAATTTTCTGACCTCGAATAAATCCTTCGTTTGCAAACACCCAACGATCTGAATCTATTTTTCTAAAGCCCTGAAATATTAAGATTCATTAATACTCGATATCGGTTGACAAATCAAGTAACAAAACATTTACAGTCACGCAGATATACACAGAGGTGTCTATAGAGCACGTACAATGCATACATTTAAAGAGAAAAACAAGAAAAGCCATCTGACTATGTCTCACACTTCAATCTATCACAGCTATATTACAAGCCAATCCATCTAAATAGGTGCCATTTTTTCAAATATATCCGAATTCAGTCAAGAAAGCATATATGGGAACTGCGATTGAAGCACAACCTTTTAATTAGATTGAAAAAAAGAAGGGAAATGGATGAAGCTTGGGAAACAGAACGATCACATCTTAGACAGATCGTTACGAGTGCCACTTAAATTTTTAACCACAGAAAACTTTCAATTCCTTCAACTTGAAAGAAATCCAAAAAAATGCAAAACTCGCAACAAGCAGTACTTGCAAGATAGATACTTTACAGGTAACATTGGACAAGCGAATCGAGCATGAGTTCACGATCGAAACGAAACAGAGCTAACTTAATCGTATCTGCAGGAAAGAAAACTGGCTTCTGAAAGTTAAACCTCGTCTTGTTTACAATCATTTACAAATGTGCAATAATTTTATATTTGGCACAAAAACAACGACGACGACAACAACAACTAAACAAAGAGAAAAACCCCATGAATGCATAACCGAGACAAAATAACTTTGCCCAGTTAATCAAAAGGTAAGAAAACAATGAACTCACATAGATATTGAGCTGTCTCATGAAGCTAGAAAAGTTACTGTGCTTGAAGTACTTGGGCAGCATTGAAATCGAGAACTGGGCCATGTCCAATATAGCAAAGCTGTCGCCGGTTTCACTCCACGAGATTATGGAGTCGGTGTCCTTATCATCCACCATCTCGTAGCATTTTCTGAGAAAAGGAGCCACCGACCCCGCCGGCCCCGACCCATCTCCTCCGCCCTTCTCCGCCGATTTCACCATGTTCAAGAAAACCAAGATTTTGAAATTGAATTCTATTTGGGATTTGGGTTTTCGTAAAGACCCAGGAGGAGTTCGGTGGAATTGGATGGAATCGGATGGAAAGTGTAGTAATGTATTGACGGCGAAGTTTCGATCTTTGCTTCTTTGAGTTGCCGTGTTGACGGGGGTTTATGGTCTCTGGGACTTTTTGAGTTTGAAAGACAAACTCCACTTTCTCTCCGGTTTTTGTGTAGTGCGGTTGGATGCTTTTTATGTGTGTACGAGGATCGCCTCCGGATCCTTTTTATTGGATTCTATAATCGTGTCTATATATTCTGCTTTGGCATTTTGGATCAACCCGTTAACCTGATCCGATCTAACCCGTTAATATTTGTATTTAGATGGATGTCTAATAGGTTGGGTTGTTAACAGGTGAACCCGTTAACAACACGTTAAATAACGGGTCACTTTGAGTCAACCCGTTAGACCCGTTAAGACCCGTTAGCACCCATTAGTTGAAGATATTTTAATAATTTTAGTAAAGTCTTAATGACAAAAAATAAACTTTATGCAAAAAAAAAAATTAATAATAATAATAATTGTTAACGGGTGAAACGGGTGATCCGTTAGCTTAACGGGTCGAGTTCGGATGACCTGTTAACTTAATGGGTCAGGTTGAACCCGACCCAAACTCAATAAACCCGACCCGTTTACAGGTCTACTATATATCGTAAATTGTACAGTTAAAAATTATTTTAAATATTTAAAATTAAATACAAATAGTAATTTGTGAAAATTTATCACATAATTTACGATAAACAAACACGATTAAAAGCATCATTTGAATTCTCACAAGAGGATTCCAAAGAAGATCCTCATTCTTTATGTGTAAAAAAAAAAAAAAAAAAAAAAAAAACTGTCTCATGTGTCGTGACCACGAAGATGTTGACATGTGGAAAGTATAAAGGTGGGCCGAGCTTAACCTGGTTGGGTTTCTGTGGGGTTCTAACCCAAAATAAAATGGGCGGAGTCCAGCCCCGATCAAGTGATGTTCTCTTTTCTTTACAGTTCAACACCTCGCCTTATAACAAATGGTGGTGCTATTTACACATTTCTTTTAATTTTCAATTGTCGGATCGCATAAATTGAAGAAGATTAATGAATAAAAACTAACAATCATGTGTTGTAGGTAAAAAATGGTGTGTGAATAGCACTACCTATAACAAATTCTTTAATCTCATGCATGGGAGAAACATTCTTAACTTATCAAGTAATAGAGACACAACATCAGTTAACATGAGTAACATCATCACTCAAATTAACGTAGCTAGCCTCTCTCTCTCTACATGTTCTTATTCCTCGGCTGAAACGCAGACGACATAGCCAGATCGCCGCCAGCAGGCCGGGTGGGTAATGGTTTTTTTTTTTGAACCACTGAGGTCCTCAAGTTGAGCATACATAGCAGTGATAAAAGATGTCATTTCCTTCATGGGATCCGCCATGGCTTCTTTGAGCTTGTTTAGACCGTTGCAGTACGCTTCCTGCCAATAATTTTATATATATATATATATATATATATATATATATCAGATAGGCTAACTTTGATTAATAATTCGTATAGCTCACACAAAATTGATGCACTTTCTAGAAAATAATGGTATATATACCATGAACTGATCAAGGTTTGAAGAATCGCGATCGCTGCTGGTAGCGTCCTTGATGAATTGCTTGGCATTGACAATGTTATTGTCCGTTGTAGTAGTGCTTTTATCACCGATTTGATCTCCAATTTCACCCAAACCCACCTGACAATATTGACTTCGATATTGGTGAGCTACTAGAGAGAGAGAGAGAGAGAGAGAGAGAGAGAGAGAGAGAGAGAGAGAGAGAGAGAGAGAGTGTGTGTGTGTGTGTGTGTGTGTTGCATGCTGTCCAACCATTAACCCAGCAAGCTCCCAACGGAGGATCAACTTCAGCGCCGAGGCATCCCGCTGGCTCCAATATGCCAACTATGTCACAAGAATTCTGAATCTATTGACCACTTATTTTCTAGCTGTGACTTTGCACAATGTGCTTGGCGTTGGCTAGCTACCCAATTTGGCACTATTATTCCACCTACGGGCTCCCTCTTTGATCTATGGCTTGATTTTCTGTCATAGCGGTTTTCTCCACATCTTCGCAATGTCTGGCTAGCTTCAGGGTTTTTCTTACTCATGGCTATTTGGAAGATGCGTAATAAAGTGAAGTTTGAAGGCAAACCTCCCTCATTCTCACGTCTCTGCCGCTCCACCTCGGCCTGGATTAGGCAGGTTGGAGCTCTCACCCCTGGCCATGTACGAGGCATTTTGGACAGGCAACTTTTAGTCTCTCTTGGAATATCGCCTAACTCCTGTAAAGCTCCTTCTATTGTCCCTGTTCTTTGGCACCCCCCTCATTTTTCTTGGGTCAAAGTGAATACTGATGGCCTTGCTAAAGGTAATCCGGGTCCTGCGGCATGTGGCGGGGTTTTTCGAGATTCTGCGGGTTATTTTATTGGTGGTTTCTCCCTAAGCTTGGGCCATCGTACTTCTTTCTATGCGGAGCTCCATGCTGTCATCCTTGCTGTCGAATTGGCCCACGCGCGGGGCTGGCAAAATTTATGGCTTGAAAGCGACTCTTCGAGTGTAATATCATGTTTTGCTTCTGGATCTTTCTCTCCCCCTTGGTCGCTCCAGACACGCTGGAACAATTGTACTCTCCATTTGCAGAACATGGTTTTTCGTTGCTCTCATATTTTTCGAGAATGGAATGTTGTTGCTGACAAATTAGCCAATTTAGGGTTTCTATCATCTTCACTTGTCTGGCATTCCTCTCCTCCGATTGAGATCCTCCCCTCTCTGCACTCAGATTTCTTGGGCATGCCAACCTACAGGTTTGCCTCATCTTCTTGATGTGTCTTCTCCTTTCTTTTCCTAACCTTTTTGGATTCCCTTTTGTTTTGCAGTTTGTCTTGCAGGTTATTACCTTTTAAGGTTTATAGAGGGGTTTGGGCTTATGTCCGCCTAGTCTTTTCCTTGTATTTTCTTTTCCAAGAGGGGTACGGTCTATGTCCCCCCCTCTTTTTCCAGCATTTCCTTTCTCAAAAGGGGTAAGGTGCATGTCCCCCCCTTTTTCTTTTGTATTTTCTTTTCTCTTTCTTGTTCTATGAGGGGTTAGGTTTATGTCCCCTCCTGTCTAGGTGTAACTTCTTTTTTCTTATCAATAAAATTTCCTCGTACCGCCGAGGTTCTTCCAAAAAAAAAAAAAAAAAAAAAAAAAAACCCAGCAACCACTTGATTTGTCCACACGTGTGTCTAAATTATACCTTAATTATAACTATCCGGCCTAACCCATCTGCCCACAGTAATTACACACAAAATGGACAATCCTTTTGGAACTTCCACATCTTTGATTTGACCATCATATTGTGAAGATATATTTTTATTATTATTTTTTCAGGTATATCTTCTCGTGATTCATCCTTTTAGGACTTCCACATCTTTGATTTGACCATCATATTGTGAAGATATTTTTTTTGTTTTTGAAGGTATATCTTCTCACAATCACAAAACTGAAAAAGGACTGATATACATATTTATGTATATAATTTTTCCATGCATATACCTTCAAACAGTCGGTGTGATTCTCCAGCAACAGCCCATACAGTGGATGGCCCGCAATCCTCCTCTTTAGAACCTCCTCCTCCTCCTCTACTATATCACCTTCACCTTTTTCTCTAGTGCTGCACACCTTAACAACACCATTATTCTCTTCATGCTCACCACTGTAAATCCCCTCCATCTCTCTCTCTCTCTCTCTCTCTCTCTCTCTCTCTCTCTCTCTCTCTCTCTCTGTGTAAAACACAACAGACAGAAGAGATAGCTAGCCAGCCAACCCTTAGAACTTGGTCAACTTTTAACCAAATATATGAATATATAAGAAGCAATAACTACAGTAGTCGCGTACGTGCTTTCTGATTCTGCCGTGGTAATTTTCGAATCAAATCAACTATTTGTTTGTATGGATACGCAATCGTGCATGCATAAATCACGATAAAAGTTGGGAAAGGCGCACGGACTCTGGCACTTGCGCTTTCTCTGGAATCATCTTTTAAGTATGTAGTTATGCCGGCCCAGAAGGAAATCTATCGAGCTTTCTCTGCAATCATCTTTTTTTCTCTCCAATCTTTCAAGTACTTATATGCCCCAGAAGGGAAAATGATCTATCGAGGTTTCATCAATTATTTAATCTCTTTTTTGTCTCCCTCACTCATCGATATCCCAACACTCTGCTATATACTGTTACACCTTTGAGTTTTCTACTTTGTTGCGTCACTCATTGACCAAATACAAGTACTGAGATACTTGACCAAATACAAGTACAAGTACTCAGAGAGAAAGATATGTGATTGGGGATTTTATAGTATTCAGGATTATTGTATATTCTATCAATTTTAATTATTAGATTTTTTTTTCTCAAAAAATACAAAAATAAAAATTTAACGTTACGAAAATTCAGAGCATAAATACTCCGGAACACTAGTTAATTTTTATATAGGATGTGAACATAGACGAAGGCACCTTTACTAGCTAATTAGTTAGGGTTTGATGGGTTTTTTTTGCCTCGATGCATTAACTGTATATATGTTCTTGTCCAATTAATTAAGTTGCTATAATACAATTTTCTTAGTCCGCATGGTTAGAAGTTATACATTCATTGCATGGTTAGAAGTTATACATTCATTGCAGAAAAACCAAAATAAGTGATGATCTACTGCCACTTTCTTTTAATCGAATGAAGATTTTGGATTCCAGCCTATCGAAATAGGTATGTAACTGAATCACAGTTATGATATTATCAACAAACTTTTAGCAATTGGTTGTATATGGATAAACCACTTGGGTTGAAGGTGGCAATGGTGATGAGCAAGGGCAGTTAGGACGTAGAGGTGTCAAATCAATCTATTGGTTGCTAACGGATATATATTAAGACTCATTTAGTTCGATTTCACCTTACATTATCATCACCATTACTAATCTTAGCTTTATATTACGGTGATATATATCAAATTAAATGAGTTTTTACAGTACTAATTAATAACTCAAGGTTGATTTGCCACCTCTAAGGGCAGGTTTATGATTTTATATGGAGGTGGGCTAATATATTTCTTGTGTTGGAGCATGGAGAGTAAATTAAATTTTAGATGGAAAACACCTTCACTTATATATGCATGACACGTTGACATTTTGAGAAAGTGAGGATAAAGTCCCACATCAGTGAGGGACCAAACCATGCAATGCAAAGGCTTATAAAAAGTTAAACTACTCCTCATATTGTCAATTAACTTTATGGTAGAAACCCCAACTTCTTCAGACATCACGTTCGAAATTGCGTTGTACACTAATCATATGATTGGACGACATGGAAGCTGGGCTAGGCTTGCTGTTCACTTGTGGATATGAATATCAGCGGAATAGGTAGTACATACTTTTAAGCTTTTAACAAATGTAAATTTTGGAAAAGATTATGACCCTTTGGGGCAACAGATGAAGTATTCTCTGTTTGTTTCCCCAAGCATTAATGAGTAGTCGAGGCTTCTTTACTCACATTGTTCATGCTTATTTAGTTGGTTTGGTTGCATAGGTGTGAAAACTTTTCTTCGTATGAATTGCGAACTTTTGCCTTTTGGTATATCCTGATTCCTGATATGCCTATCACGATAGAATACATTTGAAACAGTGTTTTATGAAGCATCCTGTGATAAATTCCTGACCAACTTCATGTATCTAATAAAATAAATAAATATAAGAGGCATCGTCTACTATATGGATTCATGTGAAGCACACGAAGTTTGAAACAAAGGGACCTACTGTTATACGCAATGCATATGTTGACTCAGATTGTTGAACTGGAATTACAATATCTCGATTAGCTGTAACATTCTCGTGTATATGCAGGGTGTAAACAAGGGACTTGTAGCGAAACGTCTACTTTCCTCCATGCAAGAAAGGGAAATGTCACCAGATTTTGTTCCTTGCATAGGGGATGATCGATCTGATGAAGACATGTTTGAGGTAATTACAAGCTCCATATCAGGCCCATCCATCGCTCCCAGAGCAGAAGTATTTGCGTGCAGTCTGCCGAAAACGCAGCAAAGTCAAGTATTATCTGGATGACGCCGCGAAGATTGTAAGGTTGATGAAGGGATTGGCATGTGTCACTGAGCAAACTGTACCTCTGTAAGTTTACTAACGATGAAGATAGGGGCGTTGTCCCATTTTCTCTGTTTGTAACTGCCACAACGAAGGCCGAGCAGTGTATTAAACAATGTTTCTGTTTAATTCCTTGCTTCTTTTGTTCATCATGTAAAAACTATGTGGTGTTAAGAGAAGCTGTGCAATCGGATATTGTTTTTCGCATTTTTTGTTGTAAATCTGCGAATATGTTTGTGCATGAAGTCCGAACTTGTTGTACCGCAGTAGATAATAGTCTTTAACGAGGGAAATCTCTCATTCATGTCCACTGCCTGTTGAAACTGAACTAGGTTTACGTGAAGTTTTGAGAATACGAACACAAAGTATATTGCACTGGATAACTCAGAAGCATTATTATTAAACTGAAAGACATCAATCAGCTATTAAATAGCCTTACATCAACAAGAAAAATGAAATAACAACCCACGATAACAACAACCCTAGAATCGTGGTAATCGACTAATTCAAAAACAGATAACAAACTTGTCCCTCAAGTATAGGAGGGTTATTAGCACGCCCGGGGTATAAGCCCTAGAATAAAGGAAACCTATCAACTAGAATCTTTGACAACTTCAACATCCTCCCTTAAACTGAATACTATTGATTCAGTTTATTCCAGGCCATTTGCATACACCCATTAGGTCTCGCAGTTTCTGAAATACTTCAAGTTTCAGTGGCTTCGTCATCACGTCTGCAATCTACTCCTGAGTAGAACACTGCAGCAGCTCCACTACTTCATCCTTAACAAGATCTCGAAGGAAGTGAAACCTTACATCTATATGTTTACTGCGACCATGCATTACTGGATTCTTTGACAGCTTAATGGTTGAGATATTATCACAGTAAACCTTTGTTGGACCGTTTTGCCTTAGATTCAAGCAACTCAAAATTCTTCTTATCCACACCACTTGACACGTACTTGAAGCAGCAGCAATGAATTCTGCTTCAGTAGTAGAAAGAGTGACCACTGGTTGCTTCTTTGAGGACCATGATACTGCACCTGAATTCATCATAAATACATAACCTGAAGTACTTTTTCTGTCATCTTGATCACCGGCATAGTCACTGTCCGTATAGCCAATGAGCTCTTCATCTCCTCCCTTCTTGTAAAATACCCCAAAATCACCAGTTCCCTTCACGTATCTTAAGATCCTTTTGACTGCCAAGAAATGAGTCTCTGTAGGATTCTCCATATACCTGCTAATTAGACTTATAGCGTACATAAGATCAGGTCGTGTAGCTGTTAAATACATAAGACTCCCAACCATTTGCTTATAGTGTGTGCTGTCTACTTTTGCTCCCCCTTCATCACGAGTGAGTTTGAATCCAGGAACCACAGGGTTGTGCACTGAGTTGCACTGACCCATGTTGAACCTGTCTAACACTTCCTGTGCATACTTACGCTGACTTATAAAAATGCCATCTGGTTTCTGTAGTACTTCAATGCCAAGAAAGAATCTCATACTTCCGAGATCAGTCATATCGAATTCTATCATCATGGATCTCTTAAATTTCTCAAACAACACCCTATCATTTCCAGTAAAAATGAGATCATCAACATATAAGCATACGATCAAAATTTTACCTTAACTGGCTGTCTTGATAAACAATGTGTGCTCAAAAGGACATTTGCTGAATCCCTCTTTGATAAAATAGGATTCTATTCTACTGTACCATGCTCGTGGAGCCTGCTTGAGCCCGTATAGTGCCTTCTTGAGACGATAGACCTTGCCTTCGCTTCCTTTCTGTTCATATCCAGGTGGTTGTTCAACGAAAACCTCTTCATTGATCTCTCCATGCAAGAAAGCTGCTTTGACGTCGAGTTGGTAAATCTTCCAGCTCATTTGTGCAGCAATGGATATAACCATCCGAATTGTATCCATTCGTGCCACTGGTGCAAATACTTCAGAAAAATCCACTCCATATCGTTGGCAATATCCCTTCGCAACAAGCCGAGCCTTATACTTGTCTACCTCCCCATTTTCATTCAATTTTGTCTTGAAAACCCATTTGACTCCAATGGTTTTTCCCCATGTTGGTAGGTCAGTCAATTCCCACGTATGGTTCTTCTCTATTGTTTCTATCTCTCTATCCATTGCTTGTTTCCACTTTTCACTTTTCACAGCTTCACAATAGCTAGTAGGATCGCCATTCGTAAACAAAGCTAGATGAGCCAAGTTCATACCTTCTTCATCAAAGAGACCTTCACCAGCGTCATAGTCTCTCATCCAAATTGGTGGCCTTCGAGCTTGTCCCTCTTGAGGTGCACTACCTTCATTTATGGCATTTTCTGATTCAAATGAATTATTGCCATCTGACCCATGAACGTCAGTTTCTTCTTCATCTCCTTCATCTTCTTCTTCATTTCCTTCAACCCCAGAATCAAGATCATCTAAAATATTTTGCTCATGACTGTCATCCCAATTCCACTGTTGATCTTCTTCAAATACTACATCTCGACTTATGATGATTTTATTTGAAATAGGATCAAACAATCTATAAGCTTTGGACTCCTCACTTACCCCCAACAGTATACATTTGAGGCTT